GTCAGGCTGCAATTGGAGTACTGTGTCCAGTACTGGGCACTGTACTTTAAAAAGAATGTGGCCAGCCTGGAGAGAGTTCAGAGGAGGGCCACCCTTTTGGTGAGAGGGCAGTAGGACAAGCCCTATGAGGAGAGACTGAGGGACCTGAACCTGTTCAGCCTCGGCAAGAGGAGGCTGAGGGGGAACCTGGTGTCTGCCTACAAACTCATCGGGGAGATCATCAGCAAATAGGAAGAGCCCTATTCTCCCCAGCACCACCTGGGGTGACAAGGAACAATGGTAATAAGCTGGTGGGGAATAGGTTTTGGTTAGTGATCAGAAGGCAATATTTTACAGTTGGGGTGGCCAGAATCTGGAACCAATTTCCTAGGGAAGTGGTTCTCACCCCTACCTTGGGCAAATTCAAAAAGAGGTTAGATGATCACCTGTCTGGGATCTTGTGAACCCAGCATTCATTCCTGCCTGTGGCAGGGGGTCGGGCTAGATGATCTGATCAGGTTCCTCCTGACCCTAGCTACTATGAAACTGAAAACCTAACATTCTTCATTGACAAGTAAAAATATATAACTTAAATTGATACTGCACTATTTTATTGTTTGTCTTTAACCTGAATTAATTCAAGAAATTAAAATTAGAATATTTGTGAACATTGGCTCTAGTTCTCTGCCCTTCTGTGTTTCCACTTGACATAGCAGAGAGGGGAGAGCAAGTAGGATGCAGATTTTGGTTCTTTGATTCTCAGACTGATTCTACATCATCCATAGCCCTGTGAAATATTTAAGTTGGCTTCAAGGCCTTTTAAACTTGCTAGTTGGTAGTAGGTATTTAGTGTTCTTAAGTAATCTCTTTACAATATGAACATTATTGCTGAGAGCCACTAGGACCTAGTCTTACAGATTTCAGAAAACTATCAGGTCTTTAGCAAGCTGCTTTCCCCCTTCAAATACTCTTCCAACCTTTGTGTCACTGTCTTAACTTCTCTCCAAACAGTGAAATTCATTCTGTTACTACTGCTTCTGATGGACGGTAACTTAAAGCCATGATGGGATTTGATGTGTGATCCCAAAAACCACGTTTCTTGCAATGCCATGCGTACATGGCAGGAGGTACAATTGTGAGATTTGAGCATCAGGTCCCATCACACTACGTGCTGGTGCAGGGGGAATCTGGGATCATGATCCCAAGCTCCCTCTGCACCAACAAGTAGCAGGCTTGGCTCTCTGTGCTCCCCTGCCTGGGAACTGATGAGCCAGTCCCAGCCCCTGGGACTCTTTAAGAGCACTGGTACACTTTGGTGTTTGGGAGTACTGGCCACACGCTTAATTAAAAGTGTGATAGGAACCACTCACAATGTTAATACATATATTTTGAGTTATAACTTTGTAGCTCAGGGGTCATCAACCCCCAGCACGCATGCCGAGCATGGCACACAAGGCCATTTTGCTCAGCACACCACTGCCAGCCTGGGCTCTAAGCAGCTTCTGCCAGCCACGGAGCCCAGGCTGCTCCCAGCAGGCGGCTGGGAGGCTGCAAGCCCTGCTGCAAGCAGACTGGGCTCCGTGGGTTGACTGCAGCCAGGAGGCTGCAAACAGCTGCTCTGGACTCAGGCGTGTTGGCACTCCAGCACCTTCCAAGGTAGACATTGTGGGTTTTTTGGCACTCCGGCCAAAAAACATTGCCTACCGCTGTTGTAGCTTATTCTTCATTTTATCTTAATTGAACAAGCATGTGGTCAGGTCACTACTTAAAGACATGATTTACCAACCAGTTAATCGTGTCTTAAGTGTAACATCTGTTAGGGGCCTACCATTCAGCACCCAGGGCTGGAAGACTCCTCCTACTCTGTTTTATTTGAGGTTGTAAGAGTTGTTGGTCCCTTTAGCTCCTAATGTGAGTTCACAAGGTGCCTGGGAGCCCTGAATCCCTCTGTCTTACTACACTTGGCACTTTCTGGCTCTGGGAGTATTCTGTGTCCCTAGTTGCTCTTGATGATTTGCAGTGTATTGTTAAGCTTGAGTCTCACTCACAGACTATGTTGTCTTAAGCTTTTTCTTAGGAGAAAGTAGGTCATTTGTGTCTCAATTTTATGTAATGAAACCAACTTGCCTTAATTACAGAATAGTAAATTAATTTTTTAATCAGCTCAGTATTCAGGCTCGTTTAAGCTAAGGTTTCAAGGAAATCATCAGTATCTGTCTTGTCGTTTGCAGCTTCTTTTTGATTTCCTGGCATTCAAGAATGACATCAGCTTCTGGAAGAAAAAGAAGAGCATGATTGGAATGTCAACAAAAGCAGGTATGGCACGTTATACAAGGGGTACAATAATTAAACTATGGATTTACTCTTTTCATTTTAACGTGCAGATAAGTGAGATTATAAAAAAAATGAGATTATTTTTGTATGATCATCAAGCAGAGAGTGGTGTGCCTTAATCACAATATGTAGTTATTTTATCAAAAAATTGAAGATGGACAAATTCTTATCTGATACTTAGGATAACACTAATGTTTGCATTTATTTGGCGATGGATTTTATTTTGGAGAATTTTTCTAAAATATCTTTACAAATGATTGATTATGGGGAATATGATTTTTAGGAGAATAGAGTGAAAATTTCCAAATTTAAATATTTGTTGTCTTCCCATCCATATGTGGAAAAAAATTTCTGCTGCTTACAAAAACTGAAGGCTAGTGGTTGACCATTGTGCCCTAGAAGTTTGGAAGTATGCCTGTTAAATACTACTTACCCTATTTAATTCTGATTACTTTTGGAATAAATAAGAATCTTTTTCCAAAAAAATTTCCCAGGAGGAAAGAATTTGTACGCTGCTTGGAACTCAAATAGAATGATATTACTGCTTGATGACCATAGCACAAAGAATTCCATAAAATATATTTTGCATTTATTAAAGACATTCAAAAATATTGTAATATTATAAAAGCCGTAATCTAGCTGTCTGTCTATCTGTAACACTTTATTCACACTCTGATTGGCTGAGTGAAACAACCAATCAGAGTGCAAATACAGCATTGGGATAGGAGGTGGCAGCGCGAGGGAGCATGGCCATGATGGTGGGGACATGGGGGGTGGAGGAGGTGGGTGGGAGCAAGGCCCCCCTGCCCTGCTCCCTGCAAGCTGGAGCTGACCTCGGCCAGCCCCTCCCACTTCTGTCGTTGCTGCCTGCAAGGCCAGCACAGGCCAATGCAGTGGTGAGGGGAGGGGAGCAGTGGGCCTGGGCCTTGGCCAGTGTGGGGCAGGGGGAGAGAAGTGGGTCTAAGGGTGGGGTGGAGAAGCTGACCCACCGTGGGAGGTGGGGAGCTGCCGGCCTGGCCTGATGTGGCAGCAGCGGGGAAGGGGAGGAGCAGGCTTCCTTTCCCATCTCCCCACGTCAGACTGGGCCTGCTGCCCCCTCCCTCCCCCCTACGGCCAGCTGACTTCTCCCTACCCTTGGGCTCAGTCATCTCCCACACCCCCTGCATTGGGCCCAGGCCTGCTCCTCCCCTCCCTCCACCGCCACGGAGGGGAAGGGAGGAGCAGGACCAGACCCCAAGCAGCAGGAGAGAAGGGGGAGCAGGCCCTGATGCTGGGGTGGGACACGGGGCTGTGTTCCTTCCTGTCCCGCTCCACATCGTTCTTGATGGGCAGTTGGCTAGTATTTTGTATAAAGGCCTTACAGGAGTTTTAAACATAAATTGATCCATAAGAATTTCAAAGGTTAAAATTGTTTTATTGCCTGTGGATTTCTTCATAACAAATTTCCTCTTAACATGAATAATAAATTTGTGTAATATCTCAAAATGCTCACATACGGCATTGCTACAGCACGTTAAACTGTATAAATAATTTGTTTACGTCAAGTATTAAATTTTCATACCCCCATCCTTAAGTATAAGAGGAAATGAGCAGTGTTTTGTTCCTCAGTTATTTACTTTGCTTATTTTCAGTAGGACTGAGCATCTAGGTACTTGCTGTGTAAAATTGTGATTATGTTGTGATGTAACTTCCTGTAATCATCTATGGTCTCACAAGTAATTTTACATGAGGAAGCAGCTCAAATAGGTAAACAGAAAGACAGTGAGAAGTACAGGAAATGGGCTTATAGTTGGTCTTTTGCAGAGGTGTCAGTTACTGTAATATCTAAATACTATTAAAAAGTTTGTGTATTTTCTTACCAGTGCTTTGGCGATGCTTCAGTACTGTAGTGATATTTCTGTTCCTCTTGGATGAACAAACAAGTTTATTGGTGCTGATTCCAGCAGGTATTGGTGCAGTGATTGAGGTGAGATCATGTAATTCTGAATTGTGTTTATGTCTAAATATGTATTTTATTGCTAATGCTCTTGCACCTTATGTCTTTAGGGGGATGATATTTAGTTAGTCACTAAAGGCATTGCTCATTTAATATATTTACTTATTAACCATGTTTTTTAAACAGATTATTTGAAAATATTTTCTTTTGCTACAGGAATCCCATTCAAATTGTCCTGAATAATTTCTTTTAATTTGTTCTCTTAAGCAGTGGAGGTATTGTTACCTTTTATGATTTATTATTTAAACTATGTAAACTGTCCCATGTTGTGAAATGCACAGGTGGACTGGGAAACAAATCTCTTTACCCAACGGAGTTTTAGCTCAAGTTTTTGGAGTAGTAATTTTATCTCTGTGTACAAGGGTTTTAAATGCTACTTCTAAATTAATCATGTCCTTTAAGGTTGTAAATAGTGAGCACAGGAAAGAAGTACCTCATAACACATGTTTTCAATTGCTCTTTAAATTGTTAAATTTTAAAGTTATGTGTTTGTAGTTAAAATTTGAATTTTTCATCAAAAATGCAGGTTCAGCTTTTATAAAAGTTGCAAAAAACACTCCCCCAAATGACAGCATTTCTCTTTGTATATTCCCAGGTTAATTTCAGTTACTTCAGGAATTATATTTCTTTATGGACCGATTTCATAACTGATTTTGCACCTTTTAAACATTTTTTATGCCTACCCTGCAACAGTGCAGACCTTGAAATTCCCATATAGTTAGCTCACTGAAATTTTGTACAAAATCGAAACTGAAATTCTTCAAGATTTATGGCAATTATTTTCCTGCAACAAGGGATTCCCAAACCAAATATCCTGGTTTTATACACTTATTTTTGGGAATACGTACAACATTGCAGTATTGTGTTTTTACCTAAATTACTGGTATGTGTATTCAATTTTAGCATCTTATCGAGTTTGATTTATGGTTATACAGTCCACAAAGTGCTGCTCTTGGAATCTTAATACAATATTTTTCTAATGAATAAATTTGAAATGTTGATTTCTGTATATCTTTTTTTTTTTTTTAGCCTGGGAAGAGAAACAGTTTATCTGTTACCATATAATTTACCTGCACAAAACATTTTTAATTTTTACTTCAAACATATTCCATACTATTTATTCATTTTAATGGATTTTTTCCATCATTTTCAAACAGCAAATCACCATTATATTAGAGTTTAAGTATAAAAAATGGTAATTTGAAGGCATCAGCCATGCTTCAGTTAAGGTTGAGTTGATTTTTTGCTTTTAAAATAGGGATTGGACTTAGTACTAAGGAATCAATCACATTCTTTAAAATTTCAATATTTCATTGGTAAATGCTTAGAAAGTTGCTTCAGAATGGGTTTTCAGATTTAAGACCAGGACTAAATTCTTTGATTTGTTCTGACTGAAGCTGGTCAGATATCTAATTAGACGTTTTTCTTTTTGAATGGATTGAGTCTGTGAAAAAAATGATGGAAACCAGGCTGGGTGGCAGGCAAAGAGCATATTTAAGCATTTCAGATTTTATTTTTTCTCATGACTCAGAATGGGGAGAAAAATAAAAATGTAAACTTTTTCCACAGAAGAAAAATCTGGTTTTTGGCTGACCATAACTCTGAATTTCACATAAGCCATTGTCTAGGTACATTTGGTAGATTGTATAGATAGATCATTTTTTACTTAATTTTATGCAAGAGGTGGTTTTACAAATGTATAGTCATGTTTTCCATTATTTGCCATAGATGCAAGGTTGAAGAGGATCATAAAATAGCCAGAACATTCCAGTAAATTTAGCTTTAAAAAAATAAAAAATAAAAAAAAGATAATGTAAACATTTAATTTTTAAAAAAAGGACAATCCTACAAATAGTTTTGGTTGAATTCATATGCCTAATTTAAGGGTAAAATACTTTTCAGGAGTATAAGCTTTTTCTCAAACACATTTAAAAGAATAGTTTAAACTTTTATCTCTCAAGTTTAAAAAGCTTTTATTACTTATAACTATATAATGTATCCAGTATAACTCTGGCTTTTATGCTTTCTGAATATTTAACATTAGTTGAACGCGGTTCCTCCACATACAACATAAATAGATATCAGAAGGAAACTGCCAAAAAGAAATTAAAAGTTCAGTCACCTACTAGTGCTTTCTACCTGAGGGCATACACCTTAACATTACTACAGATACTGTATACAACAGGCTGTATGTGACAGTCATAACTGTCTCCTTTTAGCTTATCTTTATGCATATTTTCATTGGGATTTTCATCAGAATATTAGGGGGCTGGATGTCTCATGCTGGCAGACTTAAATTTGTGGCTGTAGGGTTTTGCATATGCAGTGCTGCTAAGGTGTGCACCTCTAGGGAGAGGCATAGAGTCTGTATAACTGCTTATAAACTAACTTCTTAATTTCCTTGCTTTTGAGGAGTTTTATTGACTATGACCCCAGGGAGACATTCAGTTTCTACTGGGAGAATTGTGGCTCTCCCAGGAGAAACCATGAAGTACACATGTTCATGGTTTCTCAAGGTAAAAATGAGTACTCTAGGAGGAAAATAACTTGGGAATGACCAGGGTTAAATAATTCTTGGGACTGTTTCTCCTGGGACACTGAATGTCTATATGTACCGTGGCTCACTTGGAAGAAAAAATAGTCTTTCAGCATTTCCCTTCCCCTTCCTGCCCCCACCCTCCCAGGGAAATAGCGTGTTACTCACTGGATTCTGTTGCACCAGCAAGGAGCAGAACATGCTTCCTTTGCAATCCCTACATTATGCTGCACAGAAACACACGCTGACCATGGGCAGCTTGGGTCAGCCAGTCAGGGCTGCCATATGCACTGCTGCCATCTGTTGCCAGGCAGACTATGGAAGCCTGTAGAGCATGCTAAGATGTGTTCATAGGATCCCCCTGCTCCCCTCCCTGGCTATACAGTGTCAGCACTAGAAGCTCTCCACTCTTCAGGGCCTCAGCATTCATATGCCTGTACATGCAAGTTTGGGAAAGTTTATCAGGAGGACAAATCTGGGAGAATTCTCCTAGATTATTTAAATGTGCACATAGCCTGTGTTATATAAAACAGCCACAGTAGCTCCAACAGCTTTTTGTTTTTAGGTGTTAAAAAGCTGAAGTGGAATGAGGGTCATGTTGTTGGAGAGGGTAGGAAGTGCAGGTGCTAATAAAAGTCTTCACCTTTGCCATCCATGCACTAAGCTTTGTGGTGTTCTACACGGTGAGATTACATTTGGCAGTGCCAGTTCTAAAACAGTATGTGCACCTGGCCTTAGTAAACACGTTTGTCTTTCTCAGTTTTTATGATAATGAATAATCACTAAACATGGCCTGAGTCCAATCTGTTTGTTTAAGTAATATGTTCCTATGGCACCAAAACTAGCCAGGTTCCAGTTCTTTAACAGTTCTCATGTAGTCAGTCTTGTATTAAAAATGTTAACAATGAGAAGTAGGGCTGCCATGGACAAATTTTAGCCATAGCTTAATTTCACAGATTTCCTGTTACAATGTGTAACAGAGAAACCAAAAAAGTCCTACATAAATATATATAATTTTACATTGATATGCTACCTGTTTACATTCATTATAATTCATGACTTGTTTTTAATTCTGTTTTTGAATGCAAACTTAAGTTTGAAGTTGTATATAGATGGGTAATATATTCTTGCTTTTGTCATTGACATCTACAGTAAAACGATGGCAGTTATCTCTGGTAGTTTAGCTTCATTTGTACATTACATTTAGAAATTAGAAAAGTGGAATAAAATTGTTGGAAAAACAAACATGGTATATAGAAGATGATTTCCATGTTTTCCCTTGTAGCATTTCACAGGGTACAATTCTACTTAACCAATCTTATTTTATAATTTTGTAGACATTGAAACTAAATAGTAGGGGTATCTGCTTTACTTGAGTTTGTTACTGTTCACTGTGTATCTTAGGGTTAGATTTAGATACTCTTACATCTTGAATAATTTGTAGTTCCAAATAATTCAGTTGACTTGCTGACTTCAGTCTGCTACTCCTTCAGGAGTCCAAGTGTTCAGGTCTCACAAATAGAATCAGATAGTCTTAGTCATGTTGGATAAGTTACTCTTGATAACAAAAATCTTTGTCTTTTTGTAACTTGCACCACAGCTCTGGAAAGTGAAGAAAGCACTGAAAATGACCATTAAATGGAAAGGCATAAGACCAACATTTCAGGTACTGTATCTTTGTTCCTTCATAATAACTGGATGTGTTAAGCTGTCTGCTCCTGTTCACATTACAAAACGGCTTGGCTGGAAATAAATGTCAAATAAACAAAATAAGGTAGATCACATTATACAAAAGTTCAAAAAATTGTTATGGAACTAGAAGTTGGTTTTTCACTAGTCAGCTTTTGCATTAGGAAAATTATTTTGTATTGGGTCAATAATGTGAAAAGATTAAGACATTTTCTGCAGAACAATTAGCAATGTTTGCCTTATGGAAATATGTCTAAGCCTTGATGTGAAAGAAGCATCTCTGCATGTTAACCATTCAAATACTTTCTTTTTTGAAGCGGCCAGAAATGTTACTAATTATGATGGCTTTGGCGTGGATACAACACTCACAAGGAATGAGACTATAAATTAGTTGCACTGAAATTTGAATTTTAATTGATGAACATGAGATGAGCCTGCATATTTAGACATCAGTCTTCAGAACCAAGTGGTTATGCTTCATGTTCAATACATCCCAGGCTTTCTTTCATTTATTAACATTGAGTCAGGCAGTGCGCTGTAGTGAACTTTTAGTTTAGGTGTGATATCTCTACGAGTCACTGTGAATTGTCTTTGAAATGTTCTGCAAATTCTGTGTTGGATTTCTGAAGCATTGAATTATTACATGGTGATTTAGGCCATGTGTTTCCATGTCATGGAGCAGTCCTGTGAAAATGAGCTGCTGCAACTGCTGAATCCTTTCAAGCAGAAAAACTTCCACATTCAGCATCCCATATCAGGTTAATTGGGTATATAATGGCTGCTCTTATCATGGGGTAGATAGTGAAATTTCCTAGCCCTTTAGTGACAGTTGGCTTATGATGGTAGATTCTTCTGTGGCAGGCTAATGAAATTTACTTGGGGAACACTTTCAGCTTAGCAATATCAGCATCTTCTAAGATGCCTAGCTGCCTGCTTAATTCTGGAGGCTACCTTGAGAAAGGAAGCAAGGAGCCACATGTATGTAGATTACTTCATTCTTCCATCTCTCTAAAAGTTAGCCAGTGAATTAAAAGCGATATGTTTAACCTCACAACACAGTTGGGTGAAGAGTCTGCTCTCCTTTACTTTATTTTGATGTCTCAGGGATGACGAGAAAAAGTTCCACAATCATTTCTTTTTAAAAAATAAGATAAAACCAAAAAGCCACACGTTGAGTTCAGCTGTTTCATGTACTTCTGCAGATTAGTAGCCCATTTAATCCTGCATCTTGTCTGGTAATAACTAGCAGTGGGAGGCAGATCCATAGTTAGTAAAATTGCCAGAGTTCTAGTGAAGTCAGTGGAGTTATTGATTGCACCAGCTGAGGATCTGCTCCCACAGGGAAATATAAGAAAATAATTCTTCCAGTGCAATTCCAGATCAGCCACCATAGGAGAGGTTTCTCTCTAACATAACAGGTTGGATATGAACTAAATCATATCCAACCTGTCCTTTCCTAAATCATTTCCAACCTATTCTTTCAGACCTTTAATAATCCTGTTTAACCTAAATATCCATATTTTGATGTCCACTTCTTCTGAATTTTGCCAAACTTGCCTTCTGAAACTGTTCCACAGACCTTAACTTTTGTCTTGAATGCATTCCTTTTTATTAACTGTAATTTGTCTTTCAGTTTCATTAAATATCATTGCTAGTATTACGGTGATGTGTACATAATATTATATTTTCAAGAATTGTAAATATTCCTCTCCCTTTTGCTACAGAGCTAATAGATATGTCATTGACCTACCTACAATGATATTTGACATTCTTCCTCAGTTACTTGTTAACTATTTGACTAAATGAAATGGGTTAATATCATTCCTTCCAATGCATACTAACTTGCATTTTTCAGCATTGAATTTCATTTGTCTCTGTGTTGCCTATGTAGGTTGGATAAAGTTTCTCTGAAATTCCTTCCTTTTCTCTAGTCTTGGTTTCGATATTTCACCATGCTGGCACACCACTTGTTAACTGTTTGCCATGATTAAAATGGATTGTTACTTTCTGTTTCTTGGCTCGTTGCAAATCTGGCAGAACTTTACTCTTTGCCCCATGACTGTGCTTGGACTTTCAGAAAGCTTCTTGATAATTCTTCAACAAACTTTAGGGGAATTGCTCACCATTTCTCTCCATTACTGTTTTTATGGTAGTTGGGTACAAATTCATAGATGCTAGGGTCGGAAAGGACCTCAACAGATCATTGAGTCTGACCCCTTGCCTAGGCAGGAAAGAGTGCTGGGGTCAGATGAACCCAGCCAGATGCCTGTCCAGCAAATTGCACTTATTAATTGCGTCTCTGTAATGAATGTCATTGAGGAAGATAGCTTGTTAGTTCTCTTAGTTCATTCAACAAACCACAAAGCTTAGGGAGGTTGTCAAAGAGTTTGAACTTTTGCAGAGTCATTTAGGAAAGTTTGATAGGTTTTATTACTTCAAATGCAGACCTACAGGCAAGTTACCAGGGGTGTGGGACTTGACTGTGCATTAGCTGCTCCATGATAAGGGCTGTGTGCACCCTTTTACCCTGCCATAAATGGAAGCTAAGTTGTGGTAGTTTAGCTCAAAGTGAAGCCGGTATCATTCATTTTACTGTAGGGTAAGTACATACATATGGGCAATTACTGTGGAACAGCAGAAAAGTACCACCCACTTTTTCATCCCACAGTAAATTGTTTGTATGTTCATGTCCTTTCTTAGTAGGACTGAAGTGCTGAGGACACGCACATCAAAAGTTAAGCAAGGTTGCACTTGACATTTTTTTCAACTTGTTCATTTTCAATTATGTTTTCTAAGCAAATGGCAAAGTTTCATAGATTCATAGAAGTAGGGTCAGAAGGGACCTTGTAGATCATCAGGTGCGACCCCCTGCCCTGGGCAGGAGAGAAAAACCAGGCTCAAATTACTCCAGCCAGGCAAACGTCAAGCCTCTTCTTAAAGACTCCCAGGGTAGGAGCCATGACCGCTTCCCTTGGAAGTTGGTTCCAGATCCTGGCCACCCTGATTGTGAAGTAGTGCCTTTGGATGTGTAGTCTAAACCTACTCTTGAACAACTTGTGGCCGTTGTTCCTTGTTGCTCCGGGGGGCCCTAGGGGGAACAAGGTCTCTCCCAAACCCTGCTGGTCCCCCCTAAGTGACTTTATAGATGGACACCAGGTCCCCCCTCAGCCTTCTCTTGCAAAGGCTGAACAGGTTAAGGTCCTGTAGCCTCTCTTCGTAGGGTCTGCCCTGCTGTCCCTGGATCACGCAGGTGGCCCTCCTCTGGACCCTCTCAATGCTGTTCACGTGCTGTCACCAAGACAGCTGACATACGCAAAGTTCTCCAATCTCTGATTTTTCTCTCTATTCGTGGATGGCATTTTCAGCAAGTTGGACACAACATTTTATAGTTTTCTTTTCAGTGGAACAATATTGTTAAGCAATAGCATATTTTTCCCCTATTGTGCTTGCACATAGGTACAATTTGGTCCTTTCTCACATTTGGCCATCCTTTCATATCAGTGTAGACTCCTTTTATTTCTCTTTTTATGATGTCCTCCATTCCCTTTTTATCCATTAATAAGTTGGCTATTTAGTTTAAATAGATCTGGAAGAATACATGCCCACACACACAAATATACATATTTATGTATTCTTCTAGCCAAATATATGTTTACACACACACACACACATGCACGTACAAATGTCTGTACACATTTAGTTTTACATATATGTAATCTCTGTCTCTTTCTAATCAGTTCTCTTCTTTTCAGCATGGTCTCACATAAGCAAGTCACATTCCTTTCGCCAGTCATTCATTTGTCCTCTTGCTAGAACTTTTAGACAGTTTTTTCATCTTCCTTCTGATTTAGGCAAAACAAACCTTGCATTTACCGTTCACTTTTTGGGGGGTTTTTTTGAATGTCTGCTTTTATTCATCCTGTGAATGAACAGTACTTCTCATATGCCAGAGTTCTCAAATAAGTTAATCAAAATAATATGAGTCACTATAACAATAAATGGACTTGGGAAAGGGAAGGAAACTGATAAACCCATTTATATGTTTCAAAACAAAAATAAACTAGAAAAACAATTTTTTCACAATTTCTTTACTTAACAGAACACTCCAACCCTTGCTGCAGTGCTATCTCTGCTTATATCCTGCTGAGTAATGCTAATAGTGCTTGTGAGGGGGAGCAACATAGTGGCTTCACTAACAATGTTGTCTGCTTTGAAGATGATCAGTAAAAGTTGTTTTTTTTTAAGTGGAATTGAGCTATTCTTTTAATGAGGCATAAAGAAGACCAAAAAGATACCGCTACCTATCCTACAACCACAAAACCCTTTCTTGCTACTGTGTTAAAATTACCAGGAATATTAACTTTTTATTTGGAGAGGGAGGATGTTATTTCATAGATTTCATAGACATTAGGGCTGGAAGGGACCTTGGAAGATCATGAGTCCAGCCCCCAACTCGAAGGGCAGGAAGTCAGCTTCATAGATCATAGGATCCCAGCAAGATAAGCATCCAATTTTCTATTGAAGGTGTTCAATGTAGGTGCTTGAACCACCTCCGATGGCAGGCTGTTCCAGACCGTGGGGGCTCGGACAGTAAAGAAGTTCTTTCTTATGTCCAGCTTGAAACGGTCTTGTAGTAGTTTATGACCGTTCGACCTCGTCATCCCTTGGGGCGCTCTGGTGAACAAATGTTCCCCCAGATCCTGGTGGTCACCCCTGATAAACTTATAGGTGGCCATCAGATCACCCCTGAGCCTGCGCTTTTCCAGGCTAAAGAGTCCCATAGCTCTCAGCCTGTCGTTGTAATGTCTGTTTTCCTAACCTCTGATCATGCAGGTGGCTCTTCTCTGGACTCCCCCAAGCTTCCCCACATCCTTTTTGAATTGTGGAGCCCAAAACCGGATGCAGTACTCCAGCTGCGGCCTCACCAAGGCTGAGTACAAGGGGAGAATGATGACCCTGGATTTGCTTGAGAAGCATCTATGGATGCTAGCCAGTGTTTTGGTTGCTTTACTAGCCGCAGCATCACCTTGCAGGCTCATGTTCATCTTGTGGTCAAGATTATAGCAAGGGTCTGTGATATTTGTGGACTCATACCTTAGCTGAGGTTGGGTGGACTGAAGATATTTAGCCAGTAACTGACATCTTCTTGTCCAAAATGGTTATTGGGCATTGAAGGTAAATAGGCCTTAACTGAAAACAAATCTAAAAGGAGACTCCTTCACCATGAAATAGTGCTTCATATTGCATCTGTTTTGTCTAAGTAAGTTTTATTTCCCTTGTTTAAATAGGTGTCATCTCCCTTGTTTTAGTGCATAAGTAGACAGGACATTTTTCATTTAACTTTGATGTTATTTTCTTCTAGTAAGTACAGTTCTGTATTTCTCCTCAGTTTTGTATAAACAAATTGCATCTTTTCTTTCTTTAAAAATTGTTACAGTTTGGTAAATACAGTGAATCTGAAAAGAAAACAGAAGAATATGATACCCAGGTAAGACAAAGTCCTCCAGTTATGTTGACTTATCATTAAAAATGTGGTTTGTCAGTTACTCTGGGATTTCTTTCCCAACCAGCTCCAGCCATAGTGAAGCCCAGCATCAAGAGCCCCAGGAGGGTGTGGGGGAAGGCAGCCCCTGACCCCTGCTTCATGGGCCTGGCCCCGCTCCCCCCAGTACCTCAGGCGGAGTAGCTGCCAGCAGAGAGGGGGACTTACAAGGCAAGGGGGGCTTCCTGCCACTAACTCCTGCCCGCACCTTTTGACAGCAGCAGCACGCAGCTGCTGGCTAAACTTTGCCATGGCCGGAGCTGTGGGGAGGAGAGAGGGAGGAAGGGCCAGCTCGAACAGAGGTCCCTCGCCTTGTGGACCTGGCCTGACTCCCCCCAGTATCCTAGCTGACATAGCTGGGGTGTCCTGCGAGCGGGCTTCCTCTCCACTCCACCTCTGGCTGTGGCAAAGCCCAGCTGACAGCTGTGTGCTGCTGCTGTCAAGAGGCTCCTACTATGGGTGGGTGAAGGGAGATTCCCCGCCCCCCCCGCCAGCTGAGCCTCTTGAAAAGGGCAGTACATAGCTGCTGACTTGGCTCTGCTGCAGCTGGAGCTGGGGTGTGGGGAGAGGGGCATTTTGGCAGCCTTATGGGAGGCTGGTGGAATGCCCCTACCCCTGCTGGCCAGGGCCAGTGCAGGCAGGCTCAAGCCAGGTGAACTGTGAGTTGGTTTGGTGCAGGGTGCTGTAATTCATGGTGCCATGAGTAAGAGTGTGACCCCTAAAAGTCTGTAGGCACCCTTTATAAGCAGATTTAGAATTTCTGCCTATATTACATTGCTAAAAGTATGACTCTAATGACCTCTGAAAAGCAGGACTACAAATAATTCTTGTATAAAGATGTATATCTTGGGAGCTAACTCCTCTCCCATATTCCTCAGATTCTGAAGTCTGTGAAATTCATACCCTGCTTTTCCAAATGTTTTGCCAGTTGCACTGATAAGACTTTTTACTTCCTGCTTCTGAAACAAGCTGACTGTGTGCCTAGCAATCTAAACTTAAACTGTAGCATTCCTGCCCTGTTTTGCACTTGGGGCACAGACTCAAAAGTGTAAATTGACTGAGATGTAAATCTTCGGAATACAAGAAATTCAAATATTTAACTTTTGTGCGCAAAAAGAAAACCTATTACTTAACTCCATGAAGAGTCTGTCTCTAAAATGTGAGCTGATGCACTTGCTGAAAATAACTTCTTTTCCCCCCTTAGGCTATGAAATACTTGTCCTATTTATTGTATCCACTGTGTATTGGTGGCGCAGTTTATTCACTGTTGAATGTCAAATATAAAAGGTAGGGTATTATACATTAATTTTCTAAAAGTATTTTATCTTTCTGTATGTAAACTTATAAGAGAGAGTGGGATGCAGAATATAATTGCTCAGTTATTTTTGTTCAGTTGTATATGTCCTGATTGGATACTGCTACTTGTTTCATAGAGTGTAAGACCAGAAAGGAATCCCAGTAGAGTATCTAGTCTGATCTCCCATTTGTCATAGGCCATTGTTTCCTCAACATAGTACTCTGTTAATCCTAAAGACTTTATTCCAGTGCAGGCTGAAATGATCTAATCTAGCTGAATGGTGCAAGAGGCAGAATGTCATCAAAGCCTGTGGCACCTGCAACAACAGAAAACTGATTAGGTTGAGCTACCCAGGTAGCCTGAGCAGGTGAAATATGTTCTGCTCTGTAGAGGAAGGTGAACATATAGTATATCTCTCGGAAGCTGGATTAAAGAATAACTCTTGAGATAAAATTAGATATTTTTTTCTAAAGGTTCCAGACAGTGGTGAAACCAAAGCTTTTGCTATATTCCATTGTATAATTTCCCTTATGACTAGAAGATTGCATCTTATTTAATTTAAACTTCCAACCACTTGAGCCTTGTTACGCCTTTCTGAGTAAGGTTGAAAAACCTACTATTCTACCTTTCTTTGGACAGTTACCTATATGTACTCATCCAGCTGCCTTTCAGGCTTTTCATTCAGATATTGATTAGATTGATCTCCACGAGGTTTTCTTTCTAGCCTCTGGATTGTTCGTGGCCTTCCTTTGTACTCTATCTGATATTCCCACATTCCTCCTGAAGTGTGGACACATGAACTGGACCACTTGCATTCTGATCAGTCTCACTGATGGTTTGTTCAAGGACACAACCATTTCCCTACTTTGATAACACGGTTCTCATTTAGCCAAGGATCCCATTATTTCTGTTAGCCGTGATGTGTTGAAGTGATTATCTGTGAAGACTCCTAAGTCACTTTCCAAGGTAGTGTCCAGGCTTGCATTTTTGTTCCTAGAAACATAACTTAGCATCTGCCTGTATGAAAACACCATTCAGATCAATCTGTACCCGTAACTTGTTTACTACCTCAACAGTTTTTGTCATCTCCAGTCTTTGCTGGGAAAGACTTCCTAGCCTGGTGCACTGATAAAAAATATTCAGTAGCATTGATCAGACAAGCAACAGTTCTTGGGTGGCTCCTACAGAAATAGCCCCCCTTGTTGATGGCTTCCCTTTAACACCTGCCTTTTGAGATCTGTTTCTGATCCAGGGATGGAAATGTCATTTAAAAAATTATGCGTTTAACCTCCTCTAATTACATTGGTTAAATGAATGGTCCTGCGGCAACAAGGCAGGGTGGTGTGGGGAGCCAGGGCCAAGGGTGGGATTGTGGTGAGTTCTGTCGCCAGCCAGGACTGAATACTGTGGCCACAGCAGGCTCTGCATCATGAGTGTGTGGGAGCAGGCAGGCAGAGGAGCCAGCAGCAGCACAGGGCGGCAGGTTCTGGCGGGGTCCCCAGGTTGTTGTAGCCTGCTTTTGGGGGAGCAACTCCAAGAGGCGGCACAGATCCAGACCGCAGTATCAGAGGGCTGCTGCAGCAGGTAGGTAACTAACGGTTACTTGGGGGAGTAGACCCAGGCAAAGTTGCATGACTAATCCAGCAGGGCTTAAATAGGAGTAAGCACTGTGGTGGGGCTGCCAGTAAGTGCTGCAGGGACAGGCTGCATAGAGCTAAGCATACCCCTCAACCCCATAGCACCCACAAGGGCTTCTGCCTATCTGCCTGTTGGGACAGCTATGCTGTCACACTGCACCTAAGCAGTGCCTTCAGCCTGTGGGCATCCAGGGCCCCAGGCAACCCCTCCTTCTTGTCCCCCTGACTCTGGGCTGCAGCAGCTGCTACTCAGCAAGGACCTGTGGCAGCTGTCCCAGCCTAAGGATGTGGTGCAGATGGACATGC